ACAACCTTGAAGCGTGTTAGCAATACCTGAATGCAAGCATCACAAGTAATATCAATTGTTTAGAGGTAAACAGTTCCGTAGTAGAAACGTTCCCTACTGTGACTAGCCCAATCGCCATTTCGCATGCACCCAATATCAGTATTTTTTCTCACGAAAAAAAAAAAACGTTTGGCCACGCTGAAATTTAAAAACACTGCTTTCTCGTTATGGGAAATAAACCATCAAAGACAGAGGTAACATTTTGACATAAAGAATTTCATGAAAGATTACAAGTACACAAGAACAATCGACAGTCGAAAAGCAGAACATAATAATCACTTCAGGATGTACCTTGCATTACTATTAACTATATGCACCAGTCGCAAAACTTGTGCTTAATTTTTTATTTAACAAAACCTAAAAAAAAATCGGAAATTTTTGTTTTCGTTAGGATCGGTTTTATAGTTTTTGCATAATACTTTCGGAATGCAGGGTCCGTAAACAAACATTACAAGTTGTAAAATTATGCTGGGTCTAAAATAAGCACTTTGAATAGTCGGATTTTTTATATATATATATATTTATATTTTTTATATATATTTATATATATATATATATATTATATATATATATATATATATATAACACTGTTTTTGATGGGTTGGAGTCAATAAAAGGGGCTATTTGTTGACTATTTTTTACTCGAGCTTTCAATTGTGATTACAATTTTTATCAAGAGCTTCTAAAAAATACAAAATGTCTTACAAAGTTGAACTAGAAATAAAAAAATTTTTGTTAACTCACCAAATAAAATTAGTTTTTTATATAAAACTACTGCTTACATAATAAATACAAAAAATATTAATAAAAAAATGTCTTATTCTAAAAAATGTTTCTCTGAAAAATTTAGATGAAGTTTCTTAAGAAAAAAAAAATTGAAATTATAAACAAATATAGAATAGCTACAACCAGCCTAAAACGTCATAAATACTAACTTAAAAATTTTTATTTTTGACATATTGTCAAAAATAAAATTTTGTTTAAAAAATTCTTCTTTGTTTAGTAACAAAAAAGAAGAAGATTTATTCACCATTGATAGATGCCCGGAAAAATGTAACAAATACATGGAAAATTCAAAATGTGATATTTTACTGACTGCATAAATTAAATAGAAATTATATAATTATAAATTTTGCTTAAATTTTGAATTTCTGACCTTTTGTTTAAATTATTATCACTTTTGCTAATACAAACCATTTCCAAAAAAGTTCTTTTAAATTTATTACTTTCATTACATAAAATTTTAATATTATCAAAATCCATAATATGGTCTTTGTCTATTACATGCTCTGCCAAAGCACAAGATGGTTTCTTAATTCTACAATCACTCTTGTGAGAAATAATGCGATTAGAGAGATTTCTTCCAGTCTCACCAATATACTCAGCTTCACACTGAGTACAAACAATGCTGTATACTACATTTGTTTGATCTAATTTGTCTATAGGATATTTAGTTTTGGAATATAAAGATGAAATAGTTTTGATGTTCTTTGTTGCTATTTTTATATTGTCAATAACCTTTAATGTTTGTATTAATTTAGGAGTTAATGATGGTATAAAAGGTAGTGAATGATAATATATGTTTTGATTGTTGGATACAGTGTTTTGAGATTTAGCAAAAAATGGTGTTAAGTTATTTATATTTAATAAATTAGAAAAAAGCATCCTATGTAGCATATCAGGAGGATAAGAGTTTTCAATTAAAATATTTTTTAACAAATGAAGATCTTCTTGTAGGTAGTCTGGATGAGAAAGTTTTAAAACACGTTCCTTTAATCCTGTTATAAGGTTCATTTTCATTTTATTTGGATGATTAGAGTAATAGCTTATAAATCTATTACTACATATGGGTTTTCTGAACCTTTATAAGCTATTACTCTAATCATCCAAATAAAATGAAAATGAACCTTATAACAGGATTAAAGGAACGTGTTTTAAAACTTTCTCATCCAGACTACCTACAAGAAGATCTTCATTTGTTAAAAAATATTTTAATTGAAAACTCTTATCCTCCTGATATGCTACATAGGATGCTTTTTTCTAATTTATTAAATATAAATAACTTAACACCATTTTTTGCTAAATCTCAAAACACTGTATCCAACAATCAAAACATATATTATCATTCACTACCTTTTATACCATCATTAACTCCTAAATTAATACAAACATTAAAGGTTATTGACAATATAAAAATAGCAACAAAGAACATCAAAACTATTTCATCTTTATATTCCAAAACTAAATATCCTATAGACAAATTAGATCAAACAAATGTAGTATACAGCATTGTTTGTACTCAGTGTGAAGCTGAGTATATTGGTGAGACTGGAAGAAATCTCTCTAATCGCATTATTTCTCACAAGAGTGATTGTAGAATTAAGAAACCATCTTGTGCTTTGGCAGAGCATGTAATAGACAAAGACCATATTATGGATTTTGATAATATTAAAATTTTATGTAATGAAAGTAATAAATTTAAAAGAACTTTTTTGGAAATGGTTTGTATTAGCAAAAGTGATAATAATTTAAACAAAAGGTCAGAAATTCAAAATTTAAGCAAAATTTATAATTATATAATTTCTATTTAATTTATGCAGTCAGTAAAATATCACATTTTGAATTTTCCATGTATTTGTTACATTTTTCCGGGCATCTATCAATGGTGAATAAATCTTCTTCTTTTTTGTTACTAAACAAAGAAGAATTTTTTAAACAAAATTTTATTTTTGACAATATGTCAAAAATAAAAATTTTTAAGTTAGTATTTATGACGTTTTAGGCTGGTTGTAGCTATTCTATATTTGTTTATAATTTCAATTTTTTTTTTCTTAAGAAACTTCATCTAAATTTTTCAGAGAAACATTTTTTAGAATAAGACATTTTTTTATTAATATTTTTTGTATTTATTATGTAAGCAGTAGTTTTATATAAAAAACTAATTTTATTTGGTGAGTTACCAAAAAATTTTTTATTTCTAGTTCAACTTTGTAAGACATTTTGTATTTTTTAGAAGCTCTTGATAAAAATTGTAATCACAATTGAAAGCTCGAGTAAAAAATAGTCAACAAATAGCCCCTTTTATTGACTCCAACCCATCAAAAACAGTGTTATATTTTTTCCAAACGAGTCACAAGTACTTCTTTTTTTTTTATATATATATATATATATATATATATATATATATATAAAGGTTTTTTTTTGTATATAAAGAGCTTTCAAACACACTGAAAAATTGAAATGGAGAGTCTACAGAATTTTTTAAAATTATAAACAATTTTTTGACTTTTTTATGAAAATACTTTATAAAAATTTTTGTTGCCTTGGAGAACCTTGGATTGCAAAATTATTATGCAAAAACTATTTAACAAATCTTAACGAAATTTAGCATTCATTTCAGTCATAATATAAAGTTTTTCTAGGCGGAATATAAAGTTTTGCGACTGGTACATATCATGATTATTGATAAATGATACATCCTGAAGCGATTAAAGCAAAAAATGAATTATCACTCTATTTTAAGTAGTACATTAAAAATTACTACCAGAAGAAAAGAAATTCATACATTGATTGGACTCTGAACAAAATAGGCAACTGTTTTATTAAGATTTAGGAGTAAGCTGTGAACGGAAATGATTAATTAATAAATAGGGTTATAAAAATTCCAGATATAAAATACTTTTTCCGCATTTTTACCTGTAATTTTAACACTGTAACTTATTCTACTTATATGATTTTCGAATTAAAGGACCTTTGATTTGATTTTTATAATTTTATGTTGATTTGGCATCATGTAAAATTAGGGTTCATTCACTCATAATAAACACAAAAATTAAGCTTAAAATAATATAAAAAAGATACGATAAGCATTTTACTTGCGAAGTATCGATTTTAGCATTTTTGCTGGGTTCAATCTCATCTTGATTAGTATCTGGTAATACACATTTTCGTCACTTTTAGTATCCAACTTTACGCTCTCTTGATGGTTGTGTTAATAAAATATTCCTATCGGGGAACTTCCTTCACCGCACGTTTATGGGATCTCGGATTTCTAAAAATTGTAGAACCTCCGGTTTGTTGTCCAAATGTAATAAAGCTTCAAATATATGTGTTCTAAATCTTGCACTACTATTAGGTCCTTCGAGCCGGATAGTAATAAAAATATTAAAGCAAAATATGTAAATAAATACTAAATACTTTTTCAAATAAGTATGTATTTATAAAAAATGATTCTTGATGTTAAACTGCTATCATAACTGTCATCTTCATAACGCATTATCTTTATTTCCATTATTTTGGTTCTGTATGTACTTTTACTTCGGATTGTTTCTTACTTTTATGTTCTGTATCAGTGTTATGGCCTCTTATATTGCCTGTATATTGTAGTACAGTTGGTGTATTGCATTTGATGGATGTTCTCTGTCAAAGTCCTTTTCTAGGTCTACATTATATTTGTCGGTTGTATTCTATAGATTTTTAGCTATTTTACATCGTTGGAGCTTGAATCATTATATCCTTAATAAATATTAGTATTTTCTATATAAATTAAAAATGTATTCGGATAATAGCAACTTCCATTCAATTATTGATTTTAGTCAGTTCATCAGCAGTGTTTCTAACAATTTCAAAATTACCTACTATAGGTATATAGGTCGATAAAATTTTAGTCAATTAGTGGTTTTCGTAGTAATTACAAATATTTTAATAAAAATGCTGCATTAATAGGATAAGATAGAACCACTTTTCATACGTAATTATTTCCAAAAATATGCTGGAAGTATATCAAAACCAGATGGTAAATTCTCTTGACTTGTGTTCAATATCTAAACTCCTATTTTGTAGATATTATTAGAAAATGTGCGTATTATAGTTTACAATATGTTTAGTAAATCAAATAAACGTTAAAAGTAAAATAAAGTTAAATAAAATATAAAAATAATAAAAATAAAAACAAAACTAACCATCACATCCTTGCAACAACTCAGGGGGTATGGGTACGTTAATATCAAACAAAGACGGTATTCCACCTTTACCTTCCGGTTTGTTCTCGACTCCCGGTCCTTTATCTTGGTCGTATAGTTTGACTTGCCTTTCGTTGATCATGTTCAAAGCTTCCTCCCGATTCATACGTGGAAAACCGCCCAATATCTCTCGAGGAGCTGTTTCTATGTGTTTGAAGAGAATCTGTTTCAGACCTGTAAACGATTTGGTAAATGAAATTAGATAATTACACAACGATTTTCGTAAAATTGAAAGAAAAGTATATCGTTTCAAATTTCAAAAATTATAGCAAATTACCCAGCGCTACTAAGAAGAGGGGAGACGATACTCTTAAGCTGCAGGGAATTCAAACGTCTTGGACAAGGAATATTCAAAAATCAATCGCGGGTTTCCCACTTTTAGGATTGACGCATTGAACTAATCCTTCGGTACTCGTCAAAAATCTGAAAGGTTAAAAACTCCAAAATCTGGCCTCGAAACTGAAAGGAAAATGAACTTTGCAACATGGAACGTCTAAGGAATTTTAAAGAAAACTAAGTAGTCGTGGAGGAATTTAACAAAATAAATCTAGGCACAGCAGTTACTACGGAAACTGAACTAAAGGGTCAAGGATTTGAAAACCTAGGTCGATACCACCACTTCCACCACAGGAGCTACAAAAGAACAAGGGCCTAACAAGGTACACTATCCATTATGGTACACCGCCGCTGCTTAAAAAATATATAACATCGTGGAATGAAAGAATGGTAAAGATAAACATGTATATACAAGGATATAGGATTAGCATGATGGCGCCTAACATGTGGTGGCCGTAGCGCATTGGCTATTGTACTAGTATAAAAAGCTCGGGTTCGATTACAGGCACTGATAAATTTTTTTGATTTCTAATTTAATAAGCCGTCGGTCCCGGATACGTAAGTGGCCGTTAAGTCATGTTAGAGACTCTTGTGCGACCGAAAACCCTAATAGACCTTACTTTTACTTTTTTTGTCATCCTCGCAGTTTACGGAATCAACGACGTTGGTATTTTTGATGTAAAAGAAAACTTTTTCGAACAACCAAACGAAGACAAGACACACACACTATATATATAATATATATATATATATATATATATATATATATATATATATATATATATATATATAAACCCAGCAAAATAAATAATTATTTTATCGAAAAAGCAAACAAAGACTTGCAATTGGTAAACCGTATTAAATAGAATAAACTGGTAATCAAAATATAAACTAATTATATAATATTACATATTAAAATATATAATATAATAGCAAAATATACAAACAAAATATAAATTTTTTAAAAATTTTTCTCGAATTTTACCACTATCAAAAATTTGGAAGGCATTATGCGCACAAAGTCGTCTCATAATAGCATGCGCATCCATGCGCACTTGATGTGTAACAGACAATTTTTATCCAACAAATAAGAATCAGTTGCATCAAAAATGCAATTAGAAGCAAACAAAAGTGATCAAGAAATATTTGTTAGAAACCTAACTTATTTATATTGATGTCATATATGACATATGACACTACTTTCCGAAGAATTTAGTATCCTTGTTTGCATTTTCTTTTTGTTGTAGAAAATATTTGTTTGAAATATAACTTACTTTCAGATAACGGCCTTCCGTGTGCGAATTTGCAGTCGTCCTCTTGGGTACACTTCAAACCTGTATGGTAAAATTTACAAGGAAATTCAGAATGCATATAAGAACATTTGTCACCTTTAGCACAACAATCCATCAGATAGAACTTGCAGAGTTCCAGTTTCATTGGGGGAACAGCCTCGTGCGAATAGGGACAATCACTCTAAAAACAGAAAAGATAAATTTTAATGACTAAAAACAATCAATTCTAATTATATTACCTTTTGACACTTTCCTTGGAGATAAAAGACACAAACTCCTTGTGCATCCTTAAGAGGTTGATCACCTTGGTTATCTCCTCTATTTTTCGTCCTGTCCCTATCTCTGCCTTTATTCTTTTTTCTTTTCTTTTTCCCATCTCTGTCGTGAACTTTGTTCTGGTCTTCTGCGTGTTCCGACTCATTACTCTCCTCTGAATGGGCGGAATGAGCAAAATCCAGCCTGTTTTCTAATTTCGGGCTTCCACCTCGCATGTCAATCATTTCGTTTTCATCGATGACATCTAACTTCGGAGAGTGCAGTCTTCTTTGCTTATGCTAAAAGAAATATTTTGTAATCTAATATTAAATACAGAAAATAATTTCATTACTTACTTTTCTATCCCTTTCGCTTTTCCTCCGTTTCTTTCCACGTTTGTCTTCATTTGGTTCTCTTTCTTTTTCTGCATCTTCGCCACTTGCGCTAGCAAAGGCGGCTGCTTCTTTCTCTTTCTTATTTAAGATTGAGGCTAATGTTTTCTCAATATTTTTAGCAAAGTCATCATCTGCAATAAAATAAAAGAGCTTTAGATGGATGGTGATACGCATACGTTAGCCTTCCATGGCAAAAAAGATCACTTCCAGAAAACATTGACGGGTAAATAAACCTGCAAGCTAATCTATAGAGAATATATTTAATTGGAATAAGAACATGATGTATTAAATATTCTTCTTGTAATTTCTTTACAAGAAAAACAGCTGTAGAAATTTTATATCTCGTGCTAATAAGTTAAAACTTTCAAAGAATGAGTGTAATTTCGAAAAGAGTCATATTAACACATTGAGAGAAAATACAATTGTTAGAATAGCCCGAAATAAGTCAGCAATCGGAAAAACAAGCATTAAGTCTGGAAAGAGATGAAATTAGAAGAAGATTAAGTTAAATACTGTATTATCAGAGAGATATAATAAAAAAAAGTTCTTACCTAAAACATCTGTATCTTTGGGCCTCAGCTTCTCCCATTTCTTTCTTTGCATTTCCTCCCTTTTCCTCAAATGCAATATACTCTTCTCCGCCTCGGTCATGTGTTTCTTATTCTTTTCTTCGTGTCTTCTTTTTTCCGATCGTTCAGATCGGTCTTTTCGTTTTTCCTTTTCACCATGAACAACCTGTTCAAGGTGTGGTGAAGCTGCATCTGGCTGAGTAAGGGGAACTGAATCCTCGGCAACCGGAAGCTCCTCTGCCGGAACTTCAGGAGCGGGTTCTTCTTCATCGTCTTCTATTTCACCATCTTCCAAGTCCAGAGGATCAATTTTTTCGGCCGAGTCCTCTTGGGAAGTATTGCTGTGGACAAATATTATGCTAGAAATATCACATTTTGTATGTAAAATTTACAAAAGAGGATGCAAGCATAGAAACTCTTTACATTCTATGTTTCTATCGTCTATTGACTTTTCAACTTTCGTATATAAGACGTTCATATAATAAAGGTTACTCAAATTAAATTATAATATAGAAATATGAAATAATGGTCCTAAAAATGAATATTTTAAAATATAAATGTCTAACATTGGACAAAGAAGAAACACACGACACAAAATTAGAAAATGAAAGAAACATGAATTGTAGAGACCTGTACATGTTTAGTAGTAATTTTGAATAAGAAGAATATTAGTCGAAATGAAAACAGGACAAAAATAAACAAAGGCACAGGTTCGTTACGAAACTTACCATTTCTTTGATAAAAAGAGGGTTTGGTGAGAAACAACGTAGCATATCCATAGCGGCATAGTTCAAAGTGTTACGCTTTACGGTTTGGAGGATAAAACATTAAACTACTAGAAATAAACTTTCTACGACAGTAATGGACTATTTAAAACTTCTACACCTCTTAATACAGTGCAAGACCGCCGGAAGAAGAGGTACAGGCCCAAGACGAACATACTGTCTTCGTAATCTCCGAGGTGGTATCAAGAAACATCCGCTAATCTGTTTACGAGTTGCCGTAAACAAAATTATAATTGCCAATATGTATGATCGCCAATGTTCGATAGTCGGACAGGTACTAAAAGAAGAAGAGAGCGGCAGATCGAACAACCGCAAGAGATCTTTTCGTCAGTAGACGCAGCCGGTACATAGACGTATATATTAACATTGCTAATATTAATATATACGTCTATGGGCCGGTATGCTTAGTCTATGTTAATATATACGTCTATGCTTCCAATAGGCACTTACGAACTTTGACAGTTGATAACGGCCATATTTTTGAAGGTACGTCTATCAAATTGGCTGTCATCTATTCAGTCTATTTTGCCAAATCACCATGAGTATATATAGCGTACAACAACACATGCAAATAATAAAATTGTTTTATCAAAATGGGTATCCTGTTCGAGTAGTAATGTTCCGCGCGTATCGCCTATTTTCTGCTATTCGCGGTGTGGTGGATAAATTTGAGTCCACTGGTCCAGTAAATCAATCAACATCCGTACGTCAATAAAACGCAAAATCTGCCGAAAAAATCGCCGCTGTCCGTGAGAGTGTGCAGTAGAATCCGAGGCAGTCGATTTCACAGACGACGTGTGTTCGCTAAATGGCCTCTGGAGTAGTTGGAACTGACCCTAATTTTCATCGAAAACTCATCTTCCTCGATAAGGACCATTTTTTAATGGTCAACAAATAGAGTTGACGAATGTTGTTGGCTCCCAAAGCCAACGTAACTCATGCCATCGATTAAATTTAGCCTAATTTATGGAACGGTTCATTCTACACAAAAAGTGAAATATTTTTTGTTCAGAATTATCTCAGCTACAATTTTTATTTGAAACATTGTTTTCTACGGCGTGCAGATTTTTGGTAAATCGATTTTTTCCGTTTTCCCCACCTAATAGGTGGCGTTTTTGGGTTAATCCAGAGGATAAAAGTGGTAATCTTTTTTCCATCTTTTTGGGATCCCAAAATTGATATTCTCAACAAAACTCAGCTTGTTCGTATGATTTTTAGAGGTTCAGTGGCATTTTCGTCTCTGACGACTGGAGTAGTACCTATAGTATTCAAATTAGTATTTGAATGAAAAAAAAAAAAAGGTAAAATTTAATTAGAAGAACCAAATCGAAACAATACAGTACCGTATCTATGTCGTAAACTTTATACAACTTTGTTTAAGTAAAACCAAACGATGAAAAGAACAAATGTCTTGACATAAATACCAGTCTATATTTGTATACTCATATAAGTATAATTTCTTTTTTTATATTCTAAGCTCGTATATATACATATATATATATATATATATATATATATATATATATATATATATATATATAAAGTAGTTAGGTATTATTGACTGACACGTTATGTAAAATAAAGTTTTATTTTGAGGATGCAGTCATTTAAGTAGGGCAGGATAAGTTAAACTCTTTGTTCTTAAATCAAGCTTTCGCAAAATGTTATTTGCTTCATCAGGATATGCTAAAATATGTTATGGTAAATACAATGAAATTAGAATTAAGAAACATTGTAAAAAACTAATATAAAAACTTACAACATGAGGTTAAACCATTAAATTATTAAATTCACAAAACATTCTTAACTTATCTAAATTATATTTTTATGTAAAATATTAAAATATTGTACTTACATAAAAATATAATTTAGATAAGTTAAGACTGTTTTGTGAATTTAATAATTTAATGGTTTAACCTCATGTTGTAAGTTTTTATATTAGTTTTATACAATGTTTCTTAATTCTAATTTCATTGTATTTACCATAACATATTTTTTCATATCCTGATGAAGCAAATAAATTTTGCGAAAGCTTGATTTAAGAACAAAGAGTTTAACTTATCCTGCCCTACTTAAATGACTGCATCCTCAAAATAAAACTTTATTATATATATATATATATATATATATATATATATATATATATATATATATATATGTCATTATATGTCATTGGAAAAAAATCTAAGCTCTGAAATTAAAATAATTAGAACAATTGATATAAAACAACATAAATAAATACCTCCATATGACTAAGATACAAAAATAAGGTGGCAATATATCTGCTAGAGAATTCACAAACCGAAACTTATAAAATACAAATCTGAACTAAGAAGTATAACAACACTAAGGATAAGTACAGATATAGCCAAAAACAACATATTTCGATCGGAAACAACTAACGACGTAGCAGCAGAAATAATTTACATCATATGGGTAGAGAAATATTAATTCAATATCTCCGATTAAAAAGAATATAGGAAAAAACATAGATGACCGACAGTATATTAATTAAAGTTGTTGGATAGAAAAATATTTAAATTTAAAAATACTGTAGCATATTGGTAAATGGACAACTAAATAAAAAGAGTAATTATAGAAGATAAAACTAGAATGATGAAAGAACAATGTAAAGAATTCGATATGCTAGAAGGTAAACACAATTCAAGTAACATCCACGAGAAGATCAAGAAAGCAGTAGTATTGTGTAAATGAAAATGTCCGGATCAGAACAGACAGACGCGAACAGACGTTCATGACGTTCACGAATAAAAAAACATAGATAAACTATGTGACAACAGCATCTAAAACAACACAAGTATCACCACCATACAGAATCAAAATTGCGATACTGAAGTAACTATTATCGAAGTGGTAATATAAGTTGCTATAGAAAGTAAAATCCACAAGGAAAAATTCCTGTAGCTGGCTGTATACCACGTATAACAAAAAGAGGTTAATCTTTGTAAATGGGTATATTTATTTAAAAAACCCTTAAAAGGGCCACATCAATAAAACAAACGTTTTCGGACCACACAGTCCATCATCAGGTTATTAAAATCGAAAATGCTAGGTCATAATGCCTGAGCCACCAAAATATTAGGGTAAAAACCCTTTAAATTACATTTAGTTTAACACAATGTACAACATTTCATAACTAAATGTAATTTAAAGGGTTTTTACCCTAATATTTTGGTGGCTCAGGCATTATGACCTAGCATTTTCGATTTTAATAACCTGATGATGGACTGTGTGGTCCGAAAACGTTTGTTTTATTGATGTGGCCCTTTTAAGGGTTTTTTAAATAAATATACCCATTTACAAAGATTAACCTCTTTCTATAGAAAGTATCAACGCTGATGGACTAAACGACTTCTACTCAGATTTATTTGAAATTTCTTCACGAAACATTATCGTGAATGGTATCGTGTACTTAACTGAGGCATCGATGAAAAAATTGGAAGTATTTGGGAGATTTTGGCTATGAATACACGCATATTAAAGATCTCTTGATAGACGAAGTTACCGACGATGAGAGTGAACCAGAACGGGAAAAGATCGCGAAACAATCATAACCATATGATGCAAAATGGAATATATATGTCCTATATGTGCACAATGAAAAACTAAATACTGTTTCAAATCATACTGCAATGCAAGAAGAGATGGAATAAGGTTTCCTGATTTTGCAGGCTACAAAAATGGTTCAACTTAAGTATAAAGAAAGAATAACCCAACACATGTAACGAATAGGTACTAAAAGAAGAAGATCTCCTAAATTATTAGCGAATATGCACGATTGGTGACTTGTTAATTTTGTTGAACTTACATAAAAAGTAGCAATAAAACACTGAAAACTTTGTTTTAAAACTTCCACAAAATTTATTTTAAATCTTATCGCTACAGCAGTTTCGGCTGATTGCCTTTCTCAAGTGAGATTAATCAGCAATCAGCCGAAACAGCTGTAGTGATAAGATTTAAAATAAATTTTGTGGAAGTTTGAAAACAAAGTTTTCAGTATTTTATTGTTACATAAAATGAATTTCCATTAAGTAACGGTCGAATCCATCAATTATTACATAAAAAGGTTAAAGAAATGACATAATTACTCGAAGCCATAACATGGCACTTTTAGATAAAATTGGGAATATCATAAAGACGGAGGAAAACCGAAAACAGAAAGTTTTTTATAAGAGAAATATATTAAAGACTTAGTCAAATATGAAAAAGTTAAACGAGAACTCAATTCCTTCGAAGAAAAAAAAGCAGGGGCAGAAATTACAAAATATTGCATGAACTGAAGATACATATACACAATCGAAAAAGTCCAGACCATTCACAAACGTATATAAAAAAATTTGACAGACAAGAAAAACACAAATTGAATTCCGTATGGTGCATGAGAAGCATTCTTTCGAGAAGCTATTCGATATTTTAATATAAAAATTGACTTTTTAAAAAAGTAATGGATGTTCTTAAAAAACAAATAAACTACAAACACCGAATCTAATTATAAATATCGAGTATGAATAAACATTAAATATTACGTTTATATG